CCCCAAAACCCCAAAACCCCAAAACCCCAAAACCCCTCATGGAACTCCATTATTGAAATTAAAATTTAAAGATGGGCTGTTGATCTACGAATAGTGCTGATGATAACCTTCATCGAGCAAACCAGAAGTATCTCCAAGATATCACACAAAAACAAAAGGAAGTAAACTTTGAAGAAGGCCTTCCCTCTCGAAGAAGAGCTACCAGGGCTCCTCCTGTTGATTTCAGCTATGAAAGCGAGGAGTCTGAAAGTGAGTCAGATGATTCTAACAATTCATTCCTGAATGATTCTGACTATTATAACGCAAAGGCAAGGCTAAAAAGTAAATTTATGCCATTTTTCCCAACAATTAGTGAACTGAAAATATTCACGATCTATAAATATTCTGGTGGCCAATGAGCCAATAACTTGCCTTTTTGGCCACAAGTATTTCATTACCTTTCGCTCGAAGATATTGAAGTTGTAAGTATCCACTTATTGATCCTTCTAGGTAATGTTGGGCTGAAAGAGTTTTTACGAAGCAGCTCAGGATGAAAGAATCCTTGAAAAATTCTTAGACTCGGATGATGAAGAAAGCGACTCCGACGATTATGATGAATATGAAAATTTTCATCAGCCTACTCTGAAAAAGAACACCAGCAATAATTATTCAAACAAAGGGAAATCTTCTGCATGGAGAGCAGCTTCTAAAAAGTTAGTCCCAAAATCTTCTGATAATTATTTCTCACCTTATGAAGAAAGTTCAGATAATAAGCAAAGAAGAGTGAGCCTCGCCAAGAGAAAAAGAAGTGAAAGCTGGACCAAAATATCAATACAGAAGAAGCGGAGGAACACCATTATCAAGATGCACAACCAAAGTATTATGGGGAGGAACAAAGACTCTCCTGCTATCAGGCTACAAAATGTCGAGCCAATCGAGTGCTCAGAGAATCACAGTATTTCGGAGAGTAGCGAAGTCTCAGAAGATAAGTTACAAAAACAGGAGAAAAATGATAATAAAAAGGATGAAGACAGTTTCTTCGGTATAACTCCTTGAGAATCTATTCAGAAACAAAGCTCATCGCATAGCAAGAAAGCCCAATCTAAAAAGAAGCGGAAGCAATCTGTCAGGTTTAACGGAACAAGGAGTCCCAAGAAATCCTTCAAATTTAGGAGAGACTCCATTCTTAAGAGACTGAAGTTTAAGCCAATCTTAAAGTTTAACAAGGACAATGAGCGCGAAAATGCTATTTTAAACAACATCAAAGAAAAAATGGATGTTTATGACAAAGAATTTCATAACAGAGACGATGATGGACATAATAAATTGCTGGCACTCCATCCGACCAAACTAGTGGAGCAGACAATGGATAGTAGCGTTGAAATCCAAAACGGACAAAGAGGAATCCCACAGGTTAGCCAGATTGCTCATGATAAAGGTAAGCACAGTACATTCAGGACATAAGTTATTGTATTTCTTGTTGGCTTATTTCTAAAATTGGGTGAAAATTTCCAAAAATTCCTATTTTAAGGTGGCGTATCACCTTGATGAAGAGCTTGCTAAAATTTAGTGATTTTGAAACTAGGAGAATCTTCTCCAGAAGTGAGCAAGCACAAGTTCAATATGACCAAGAAGTACTCAGGACATGAGAACATGATTGGGCAGACCTTACAGGTGAGTTTGTAGGGAGACCAGAGGGTAGTAAATTTTAAGTGGGTTTTCTGATGAAATATATTGAGATGTGACATTTCGGATCTTAAAAATTCATATTGCCTTGGAGATACCTGACCAAATTTTAGATTAGTGAAGAAGCAGTCCAAGGTCTCCCGTATCCACAAGAGTTTTTGAATAACTTAAGAGCTCAGAATGAAGACCTAAGGAATAGGTAAGATAATCAGATTCATTATTAGAGTTGAGCAAAACCTGAAGAGCATTACATCAAAGAAAAATGAGTTTAACTATAGGTACATATCGTTAATTATTAAACAAACCACATTCTTATACATTTTTATAGTGTTGGAAGAATCCAACCATTTGAGACTCCTAGCGAAGAATGTGGAAATCATGACACAAGAGAGTTTTATGAATCTCGCAAGAATAGAGGATTCAGATAATAATATATCAATAAATCTGCGTCAGCAACTTTTATACAAATTATGTTTTTTTGCTCATTTTCCATTGTTCAATAACGCTAATTCTTTTTGGGGTTTTGGGGTTTTGGGGTTTTGGGGTTTTGGGG